CCATTTTGTTTCCAAAACAAACCCAGCCCCTTTTTTTGCCAGGGTGGTTAAATGCCAAAGGAAATCCATTCCACGCGCCAACACAAACACCCGAAAAGTAAAATAGATTACGGAAAACATGGGTAAGCGATAAAACAAACAAATGTAGAAAAACTTATCTACAGTGGAAACCTGATATAACAGGGGATATGGTGGGACCAGAGAAAAAGTCCCGTTATATCAGATCCCTGTTAAATCAGAAATGCCCAAGGTAAGTTAGCATTTGTGGACTAATCCAGCTGTATTTATTCATGAGTAGTTTCCCTTACCCCAAGTACCCTGCGCATGACACATTACGCGTGCGTATAGCTAGGCTTAGGGCTAGCACTAGCAGGAAGTCTGCAGCACACTGCAGCCCTCTCTCGCTTCACCCGCTGCGTGCGCTTGCAATGGCGTGATTTGCGTGGGCTTGCTCCATCACTGCGGTACTCTCTCTCTGTCTCTCTCTCTGTCTGTCTCTGTCTCTGTCTCTGTCTCTCTCTCTCTCTCTCTCTCTCTCTCTCTCTCTCTCTCTCTCTCTCTCTCCCTCTCCCTCTCTCTCTCTCTCTCTCTCTCTTACTTTTTACACATTGTTCACTTGCCTTTTTCCCTGCTGTAACCGATTGGGCTCCGACAAGGCCGTGTTATTGCTGATAACTTTTAATAGAGACAAACAGTAGGAAAAACGGGGATTTTTTAAAAAGTCCCTGTTATTACCGGGCCTGTTATAATATATGGTTTCCACTGTATGTTCAAGAACATTTAACATAGGAAAAACAATAAGGACGAGGCAAATGCTACTTCCGGGATATAAAATAGAAATAAAGGCCTTGAACATTTTGCGTTCACTGGGTAAAATAGAGTGCAAGAGAAGCTGGGGACGAACAAGGACAACCTACTTATAGAACTTGAACAAATGGGTGGCGGGGAAAGACCAGGACAATAATTGGTCGCTTTGAAGGACAGGCGGGCTAACCCAGATTTCGGGAGTTTCCAGAAATCTTGACCCAAAACCAAAAGTGGGCATTGCCCTACCTATATGAGAAGTTTGTTTTCATTGGTGTGCAGATCTATATTTGTTTGGTTATATAGAAAACACTCCTTGTCTTTTAAAGAAACTGAACAAGGGGCAAAAACTTTACTTTCGACTTTCTCAAAACAACATTTTTCGGGATAGCCCCCTTTGTGTTTAAAAACGACCAATTATGAAAAGGTTTTTGAGAGCATTGGAGCGAAGAAATGAGTGGCGGACCGTAATTGCCGATTCCTGTCTCAGAACAGGCACTCCATGGTGATGATGAACGCCATAGGAATACCAATACACAAAATTAATACACTTTGTTACAGCGGTTTCCTTTGCAGATTAAATTTTTTTTTATTTGCTAAAAATTAAAATATTATCATTATTATTATTATTATTTATTTATTTATTTATTTATTTATTTATTTATTTAATTATTTATTAATTTATTTCCACGGAGGGGAGGGGGGGGAGGTGTTGCATGTAGTTGTTTTTTCTCCCCACTAAAACAAACTTTCTTGAGGAAAATGTAAGACAACTTACCAAACAGTTTGGCGAAGTATGTTGACAGGGCCACTGACTGTGCATAAAGTTTCCCATCTATTTCCATGTATGGAGCCAATCCAAAAGGAGCCTCTGAGGGGGAAATAGAGTTTGAGATTTGTCTAAAGAAAAACAAAATAAATCAACTAAATTATACCAAGACAACTAAATGATCGTTGATTATTACCATGATGGCTCGTTTCTTTGACTAGAAGAAGTCCCCAAAAGGAAAAGGATGATGATGATCCTGCATCCTTGGAGTCAATTAGACCAGGGCGTCAGACATGAACCGCTACATTCAGCAGGCGTGAAGGCATTTGGGGGACTTTTCATTCGTTTTCCCACACCCTTTGAATCCTCTGCTACCGCTCGTAACTGAAAACGCGCCGCCCAACATAATAAAATATATTGCGGATTTTCTGGGGTCTTGGTTCTTCCGATTTTTTTTCCTTCAAAGAATTCCTGAGGAAC